CTCTGCCTGCCTCTCTGCCTACTTGTGATCTCTGTCTGTCAAATAAATAAATAAAATCTTAAAAAAAAAAAAAGAATTTTTGCTTCCAGGAGTACCTGGGTGGCTCAGTTGGTTAAGCATCTGCCTTCAGCTCAGGTAGAGATCCCGGGGTCCTGGGATTGAGTCCTGTGGTCCTGTGTCGGGGCTCCCTGCTCAGCAGGGAGTCTGCCTCTCCCTATACCCCCCGCCAGCTCATACTCTTTCTCTCTATATATAAAATAAATAAAATTTTAAAAAATAAGAATTTTTGCTTCCATATTTTTTTTAAGTAATCTACACCCAACATGAGGCTGGAACTCACAACTCCAAGATTAAGAGTCACATGACCCACTAACTGAGACAGTCAGGCACCCCGTTTTGCTTCCATATTCATAAGAGATCTTAGTCTCTAGTTTTCTTGTGATTGCTTTGTCAGGTTTTGGTATCAGGGTAATGCCAGCCTCATAAAATGAGTTGGGAAGTAGTCCCTGCTCTCCTATTCTTTTGAAAGAGCATGTGAAGAACTGGTATTAATTGTTCTTGAAATGTTTGGTAGAATTCAGTAATAAAGCCATTTGGGCCTTTAGTACATACAGTTTGGACATTTCTTTGTGGGCGTTGTTATTACCAATTTAATCTCTTCACTGGTTATAGGTCTGTTCAGATTGTCTGTTTCTTCTTGAGTAAATTTTGGTAGTTGGTGTCTTTCCAGGAATTTGTCCATCTCATTTAAGTTATCTAATTATTTGGGGTACAGTTGTCATTTTACTTTTGTTTTCTATGTGTTTCACGTTTTTGTTTCTCCATCCCTCCTTTACTACTTGTTTTTACATTAGGTGAATATTTTCTAATGAAGCATTTACATTTATTTAGTGATTTCTTCATCATATTTTTTAAGTGTTTTGGGGGAAATTTTTTTAGTGGTTGCTCCAGGGTTTAGCAGATAAATCTTATCAGAATCAGCTTGAGATTTATACTAGCTTAATTCCAGTGATATATACATCCTATGTATCTATATATAGATCCTATATCTATATATACCTATATATCCTTTCACTTTTCACCTTTTTTGTAGACTATTTATATTTGTATATTAAAATTATATATATAATATATATAATTATATGTATATACACACATATATATATGTGTGTATATACACACACACATATATATATAAAAATTACAAACCCAAGAACACATTGTTGTTGTTACTTGACCATCTGTGGTCATTTCCTTAGCCCATTACAGCTTTGCTTCCATCTACCTCCTTTGTGCTGTTATTGGAAAGTACACTACACATATATTATATTTGTATGTTATAGGCCCAACAGTACATTATATATGTTATTTTATACAATTGCTCTTTAAATCAATTACAAGAAAAGAAAAATATTAATTTATACTGTCTTTTGTCATTATATAATTACTTTTCCCAGTGCTCTTTTTTTATTCCATGTAGATTTGATTACTGTCTGAGGCCACTTGCTTTCAGCCTGAAGAACTTCCTTTAGTATTTCTTGTAAAGCAGGTCTTTGAACAACATCTACAATTTGCATTTACCTGGGAAAGTCTTTATTTCACCTTCATATTTGAAATAGCCATTTTGAAATATTATAGGATTCTTAGTTGACAAGTTTTTTCTTTGACCACTTTGAATATGTTATCCCATAGCCTCTGGCCTCCAGATTCTGCAGAGAAGACAGCTGTTAATCTTACTGGGGTTTCCTTGTATAAGTCCTTTTTCTCTTGTTGCTTTCAAGATTTTCTCCTTGTCTTTGACTTTCCGAATTTCCCCTTTTTCTATTTGTGGCTCTCTTTGTGTTTATCCTCCTTGGAGTCTACTGAGCTTCCTGAATGTCTACGCTATTGTTTTTCAACAAATTCAGAAAGTGTCAGCTACTGTTTTTTAAAATATTTTTTCTCTCTCCTCTCCTGGTATTTCCATACATATGTGCACTTAATGATTTCCCACATTTTTCTGAGGCTCTGTACCTTTTTCTTCATTGTTTTTTTCTTTCTATTTTTCAGCTTGCATCATCTCTATCATTCTATCTTCAAGCAGGCTAATTCTTTCATCTGCCTGTTTGAATCTACTCTGAGCCCCTCTAATGAATTTTTAACTTCAGTTATGGTGCTTTACAACTCCAGAATTTTCATTTGGTTCTTTTCTGTAATTCCTATCTTTTAACTTGATCTTCTACTACTTGATGTGAAAATGTCATACCTTCCTTCTTTAATCATGCTTTCCTTTAGTCCTGAGAACATATTTGTAATGGTTATTTGAAATCTTTTCTGCTAAATCTGACATCTGGTTGCTCTCATGGCAATTTCTACTGCTAGTTTGTTTCCACTGTCTGGGTCATATTTCCCTACCTTTTTGCATGTCTCACAATTTTTTTGCAGGAAACTGGACATTTTAAGTAATATATCATCTAAATAATATAGATACTGGACTGGTTCTCCCTACCCCAGTCCCAGGGCTTTTTTATTGTTCTTTACTTATTTAGTGATTGGCTGGAATGTTTTAGTGAAATCTATTTCATTCACACAGTGTTAAGGCCTGTGATGCTGTTGTTCCTCAAAGACACACAAATTTGTTTATGGCTACAGTCATCCTGGAGTGACAGTGGTTTCAGCAGGGCACTTTCTCTTCCCCTGATCACACCTAGCTGTTAAAACTCCTTTAATCGTGTCTTACTGTTCTATTATTTTCAACCAGACCCTGGGGCATAACTTGGTCTACAAAATAATCCAATCAAAGGTGACTCTTTTGAGGGAACAGTTTATTCAATCCCATAAGGGATCTTCCCCACCCCATCTTAATCTTTGACTCTCGCCTGCAAAGTAGTGGGTCTACAGACTAGGCTATATCTTCATTAAATCCATAATCTCCTCCCAACTCCCCTTCACCAAATCGTCCAGTTTTTTTTTTGTTTGTTTTTGTTGTTTTTAAGATTTGACAGAGAGAGAGACAGCAAGAGAGGGAACACAAGTAGGGGAACGGGAGACGGAGAAGGCGGCTTCCTGCCCAGTGGAGAGCCAGATGTAGAGCTCAATCCCAGGACCCTGGGATCATGACCAGAGCCGAAGGCAGACACTTAACACAGACACTTAACAACTGAGCCACCCAGGTGCCCCCCAAATCCTCCAGTTTTTAAGAGTTCCCTTAGTCATGGGACGCCTGGGTGGCTCAGTTGGTTAAGCAGCTGCCTTCGGCTCAGGTCATGATCCCAGCGTCCTGGGATCGAGTCCCGCATCGGGCTCCTTGCTCGGCAGGGAGCCTGCTTCTCCCTCTGCCTCTGCCTGCCATTCTGTCTGCCTGTGCTCGCTCTCTCTCCCTCTCTCTCTGACAAATAAATAAAATCTTTGAAAAAAAAAAAAAAGAGTTCCCTTAGTCATAAACTTCTCCACATTTTGCTGCAAATGAAGTAACTGTCTTTGGGAAGAGAGCAGAAACCACAGGTTTTAAAACCTTCTTCTCCTTCTAGGTAAAATCTCTGAATCCTTGATGGAAGGGGTGGGATGGCACACAACAGCCTAAGATTTTCTCAGTTTGCCTCCTCTGGTATGGAACCACCATTATGCAAGCTGGGTCTGGGATGAGAGCAACTGGGGAGCCCCAGTAGTCATGTGCCATGCTCAAGGCACAGCTCCCATTCTGTGAGTGGGAGCTGGATAGAAGGAAGACTCATATTTCAACTACACACACCTGGGACTGTCTCAGCAACAAGTAGGCTTGAGCAGGATAAGAAACACTGAAGTACTGCTCCTCCTGGGAAGAAAGTGGTCTGACAGGGAGCCAGGGGAAGAGGGAGCCCTGTGTTCTGGACTGCAGCAGTCTGGAATGGAATCTCCACCTTGCTGAGTTGGAAGTGGGGAGAGAGGTAGCAGCCTTGGTTCAAATACTATAGACTCTCGCCTTTCTTAGCAAATTTTCGGATTTTCTTGAATAGATGTTTATTCATTTGATAAATGTTTGCCCTTAGGGCCATTTCCAGATGGTTTAAATTGTTGAGTTTTTAAAGTAATTTTCACCAGTCTTACAGACGAGCAAGGTCAATGACACCCCTCACACTGTCATGCTGGAAATGAATCCTAAGCTGCTTTTGTGCTATAGTAGCTGAGCTGAAGAGCTAAGTGGTTGTAACAGAGATCCCATGGCCTGCAAAGCTGAAAGTATTTACTACGTGGCCCTTCACTGAAAAAGTCTGTCAACCCCTGACTTAGGTCACTACTATCAATGCTGCTGTTTCACAGACCACACTTTGGACTAGCAAGGACTTAAATTACTTGAGAGACAGTACTTTTGGCTAAAAGCTTGACTTGAAATCCCACTTTGCCACTTACTAGATGATGTATGGTTTGGGGTACCTACATCATTGGGTAGTTGTGAGAATTAAATGTAGGAGCATCTGACACTTAGAATATATTCAACAAATAGTAACTTATCATCATGATGTAAACTGCATCAAAAGTATTGGTTATCAACTGTTTCCTTTAAGGCTTTTGGAAAAGGGAAAGAAGTACAGACTTTCCAATATACAAGATGCAACTTTTAATGCCTGGGGCACATAATAATATCCAATGAAGTAAAAAAATAAATAAATAAAAAGCCCACAGAGCTGGAACTTAAGCCTGACACCAGAATTCGCCACCACGGATGCTTCCAGCCTCTTGCAGTAACAATGAATGAAAACCTTCAGGAAGTGCTTCCAAACCCAAAAGCCCTATGAAAAATGAGCAGCAATTATCTTTAACGTGAGGATTTGGGCCTAGATGGCTCCTTCCGGTTCTGGTCACCTCTGTCTATGCTTAGAGACGATATAAGCTGAATCCCTCAAGCTTCCACCTTGACTGTCACCGCGGCAGGGGCGCCCCAGTTCGTGCCCGACCCACGACAGCGCCCGGCGAGCGGGGATTCCGCCGGATTCCGCCAGGCTCCCCCTTGCCTTAGCCCGTCGGGGCTGCCAGCCGGTTACCTCGCAATTGAACTCCATCTCGGCGTCCATGGTGACGATCCGCACGGTGAACGTCTTGGGCTGCTTCCTCTTGAGCGAGCTGAAGCTCATACGGGAGGCGATGGCCCCGGCCATGGCGCGGGGCTCAGACCCGGGACCCTCGCGCCCCGAGGCCTGCGCTCTGGACCTGTTAGCCCCCCTGGAGGAGTCGCACAGGCCTCAGGGCCACCATGGTAGCCAACTGGCCGGCCTGGGAGCTGTCTGGTCGGCACGGGCCCCCAGCGGCCAGCATGGGCCGTGAGGACCCTGCCCCGGGAGCGTAAAGGGGAGTTGGGGGGTGGGCCCTTACGGCCACGGGGACGAAACACGAGCCAGAACCGACGGGGTGGGCTCTGCCCGGCGCTCAGGGTTCGGGCCCGGGACGCTGGGGACGCCTCGGGACGGGGCCCCTAGACGGCAGCAGCCCAGCCCCCGCGCGCCTCTCAGCGGCCGGTGAAGGTCTCGGGGCCGCGCTGCGGCCAGGCGCGCACGTGCGCGCGTGGCTGTCACCGTCTCCGCTCCGCGCGCCCGCAGGAAGCGTCCCCTCCCCACAGACCCCGGCCTGCTCCCCGCCCCGCCCTCAGGCCCCAGATCATTACACACAGCGCAACCGAACCGGCGGCTGCCGCCCGGACTCTCCGGTTGGCTGAGAACCCCTAGGGAGGCGGGACTTTTCCCTCCCGTCCGCCCCACTTCAGAAAGGCCTCGCCAATTGGAAGTTCCGCTGTGATTGGAGGCGCGGGCCTGGGCTCGGCGTTGAGTGGTCATAGCGGCAGTCACTCCGAACGCTTTTGTTCGCAGGGAGTACGCCTACTCTAGCAAGATTGGTTGAGGCATCGGAACTCGGCGCGCCTTCTCCCGGGAACCACGTAGCGGCTCGTCCCCAGTTGCGTGTGGGTCAGTGAGGGACTGCCCGTTGGTCCAAGTACCTGCCGAGTGTGGCGCCCCAGCAGGCTGTGTTTCGGACACCCGGCGGATAATCCTCCTTGGCACTTAATTGCATATACTGACCTCTGTGTTTCTCAAACTTTTAAATCACGTGGAGGCTGCTTAGGTTGCCTGTGCTCTCTCCCAGATCCTCTTCTCTTTGGGAGAAATTGTATTATTACCAAGGGAGGATAATAATTGTACCTACCTCGTGGGGTTGTTGAGGAATTTAAGGTAGTTAAAACATATAAAGCTTTAGAACGGTGGCTGGCACATACTAAATTGAAACCCATGAAATTGCTTTTTTGTTTTTTTTTTTTTTGTAGGTATAAATTGGTCGAAAAATGAAAGCTTTTCTCATTTTGTACTCTGACTTCCATTTTCAAACCATATATGTGTTTTCTTTATTTTTTAAGTGTCACCAAGTTAAAATGGGTGTGTTGTGAGGTGGGGAATATATAGTTTTCTGTATTAAAAAAAAAAAAATCCTACTTTTAAATAACTCTTAATGGTTGAGTAGACAATTTCCTGTTTTGACTGAAGAATAAGCAGTCCTTAAATGTTAACTATCATTAGCATCACCTCAGTACAGTTGGGAAAAGTGAGAAGCTCAGCAGGACAGAGCCACTTGCTAACTATTATCTAGATAATGAGAAGCAAAGATGGGACTGAAAACCCAGATTTATCCCATCCAGAGCTTGCTGGCATTACTATTTCTTTTTTAAAAGATTTTATTTATTCGTTTGACAGAGATCACAAGTAGGCAGAGAGGCAGGCAGAGAGAGAGGAGGAAGCAGGCTCCCTGCTGAGCAGAGAGCCCTGGGATCATGACCTGAGCCAAAGGCAGAGGCTTTAACCCACTGAGCCACCCAGGCGCCTCAGTGTTACCATTTCACTGCCTGCTTCCCTAAGTGTGGCTGCCCAGTTGCTCCCTGTTGCAGCCCCCCAAACCATGAACTACCATTCTGGAGCACACAGCAGACACCGTTGCTGTAACCATACCATAGCATAAATCTAGATCTCTACAGTCCCCTTTGGGGCCATGAATCACCAGTGTTTGCTGGCCCACCCAGCAAAGCTGTGTGGGGGAACTTTATATCCTGTCTACTGCTAGCAAATTCTCCCCACCAAAATGATTGTTCAGAGTAGTGTGGACTTGAAGCGAGAGTGTCTTCATTTTAATTGCTTCAGTTCTTCCCCACAGGTGGGAGAATGAGGGTGGATTCTCCTAAGGGCTCCCCCACACACGGTCAACAACTCAGGACTTTAACCCAGGGCCAGGACTGCTGACAAAAAATAAGTGATTCTGGGATCCTACTGAGGAGTAGAAAGAGGATGTAGATCAGATGGCAGGGGTAAAAAATGACATTGATGGCCAGTAGTAGCTCCTTTTTATGGAAAGCTTACTAGGTGCTAGGCACCAGGCTAATAGGCCAAACATGCCAAATTTAAACATTCTTGGGGAGACCCCCCAGATAGAAACATGGGTCTGGATCTCAGAAGGGAGGCTAGGATGAGAAATAAAAATAGATGTAATGGAATATTATGCTAGCATTAAAAGGGTCATTCACAGAAAATAAACACAAATGATAATACCTACCAGATAAGGGCTTGAGCAGGAATAATTCAAGCAAAGCTCATTAAGAAAGATCTGGGGGACCCTGACTGGCTCAGTCAGTAGACCATGCAACTCTTTTCTTTTCTTTTCTTTTTTAAGACTTTATTTATTTATTTGAGAGAGAGAGAACACAAGTGAGATAAGGGGCAAAGGGAGAAGCAGACTTCCCCACTGAGCAGGGAGTCTGATACCCTGAGCTGAAGGCAGATGCTTAACCAACTGAGCCATCCAGGTGCCCCGAGCATGTAACTCTTATTTTTTTTTTTTAAGATTTTATTTATTTATTTGACAGAGAGAGACATAGCAAGAGAGGAACACAAGCAGGGGGAGTGGGAGAGGGAGAAGCAGGTTTCCTGCCAAGCAGGGAGCCCGATGGGGGGTTCCGTCCCAGGACCCTGGGATCATGACCTGAGCTGAAGGCAGATGCTTAATGACTGAGCCACTCAGGCTCCCCCTGAGCATGTAACTCTTGATCGTGGGATTGTGAGTTTGAACCCCACATTGGGAGGTAGAGTGTACTTAAAAAAATTTTTTTAATTTTTTTTTTAAAAGATTTTATTTATTTGACAGAGAGAGACACAGCAAGAGAAGGAACACAAGTAGGGAAATGGGAGACGGAGAATCAGGCCTCCTGACGAGCATGGAGCCGGATCCCAGGACCCTGGGACCATGACCTGAGCCGAAGGCAGGTGCCCAACAACTAAACCACACAGACGCCCCCAAAATATATACATACTTTTTGGAAAAATAATTAAGGGGCCCCTGGCTGGCTCAGTGGGTGGAGCATGTGACTTTTGATCTCAGGGTCATGAGTTCAAGCCCCACGTCGGGGTTAGAGAACACATAAAAAAATAAAACCTTGAAAAAGAAACAAAGAGGGGCGCCTGGGTGGCTCAGTGGGTTAAGCCTCTGCCTTCGGCTCAGGTCGTGGTCTTGGGGTCCTAAGATCAAGCCCTGTGTCGGTCTCTGCTTGGCAGGGAGCCTGCTTCCTCCTCTCTCTCTGCCTGCCTCTCTGACCACTTGTGATCTCTGTCTGTCAAATAAATAAATAAAATCTTTTAAAAAGAAAGAAAGAAAGAAAGAAAGATCTGGACACACAGACCCCAGTTAGTAAATACATGTTGAATGAAGAAATAAAGGACATGAGGAAATACCTAATGGTCTCACCTATGGGAACAGTATTAATAGCTACAATATCTTAAGTGCCTACCATATAAGGTACTCTGCAAAGGGCTTTGCACGCTTTATTTCTTTTGATCTTTATCAAAACCCTGTTTGGTAGGTACTGTATCCTCAGTTTAGACATGAAACTGACTAAGGCTGAAAGGAGGTAATTTACCCAAGATCATAACTGGAAGAGATGCAATTTGCATCCAGGACAGTTTTTTGTTTGTTTGTTTGTTTTTTAAGATTTTATTTATTTATTTGACAGAGATCACAGGTGGGCAGAGAGACAGGAAGAGAGAGAGGGGGAAGCAGGCTCCCTGCTGAGCAGCGAGCCCGATGTAGGGCTCAATCCCAGGACCCTGAGACCACGACCTGAGGTGAAGGCAGAGGCTCAACCTACTGAGCCACCCAGGCGCCCCTCCAGGACAGTTTTTATCTAGATTTCACCTGAGTTACATTTGGTTCCTCCATTCTTCCAGAAGATCAGTGGCTCTCAAAGTAAGGTCCATTTTCTCCAGGAGACATTTGGCAACATCTAAAAGTTGTTTTTTTTTTTTTCTTTTTGATTGTCACAAGTAGGGGATGTTCCTGCACTCCATGGTAAAGTCTGAGAATGCTCTTAAACACTGAACAATGCACAAGACAACCTCCCACAATGAAGAATTAGGCAACCCAAAGTATCAATAGGGTCCAGCTAAAGAAATCCTTCTCTAGAGCAATTATTCTTTTTTTTTTTAAGATTTATTTATTTATTTGAGAGACAGAGAGAGAGAGCACAAGTGGAAATGGCAGAGGAAGAAGGAGAGAGAATCTCAAGCGGACTCCGTGCTCAGTGCAGAGCTGGACACTATCACGACCTGAGTTGGTGCTTAACTTACCATGCCACCCAGGCACCCCTAGGGCAATGGTTAACTGTTTTTGTGGGCTTTTTTTTTTTTTTTTTTTAAGTCAAAAATACTCTATCAAGGGCTCCTGGGTGGCTCAGTGGGTTAAGCCGCTGCCTTCGGCTCAGGTCATGATCTCAGGGTCCTGGGATCTAGTCCCGCATCGGGCTCTCTGCTCAGCAGAAAGCCTGCTTCCCTCTCTCTCTCTCTCTCTGCCTGCCTCTCTGTCTACTTGTGGTCTCTCTCTGTCAAATAAATAAATAAAATCTTTAAAAAAAATACTCTATCAAAAATCTGATAAAACCAGTGGACTTTCTCCACAAAGTACTACACACACACACACACACACACACATATGCACAAAACTTTAGAATGTTCATGAAAAGACTCCTCCAAAGTAAATATTAAGCCCCAACGTAAATCAGCTCATCACCAAGATTGAATCAACTCTTGCCAGATGCTGCATGTGAATGCAAGATTATAAGCTGTCTGCCAAAAATTGAACTTTGTTGTTTCTGGAATTACTTTTACTGTAACTTGGCATGACACCAGTGTCCCACACTAAGGGTGTTATGAGGAACAGCCCCATGGAGCTCTGTCTTCAGTAGAGATTTAACTGACAGAGGTACACACAGCATCTTTTCTAGGAAGACTTGCAAGAGAAATGTCTCTTAAACTCTGGCACTTATATTTCTCATGGGAGACTGGTTTGCTTTCTATTATTTAATAACATTCGTGGTGTTTTCCTTATCTCAAAAGTAATCCATATGTGTTACAGAAAAGAAATAGAAAGTGCAGATAAGCAGTGTGGTAGGCATAATTCTAAAATGTTCCCCACTGAGGCACCTGGCATGGTTCAGTTGGTTAAGCATCTGC